CCCCCTCTCCTTGACAGCAACTGCCATCTGCCGCCTCTTTTTCAGTTTCAAACCCATCAGATTATTTCCCACAGACTATAGCTTCACTTGACACCGCTGAAATAGCGTCTCAGAAAGCAGCTGCGCAATAAAAAAAAAAAACTGAAATCAGCCCGCTTTCCACATATTGCGCTCACAGCCAACGAGAGCCGCGGCCGCCTGCATGCAAGCCGTCTGCGGCGGAGACAGACTGCAGGCTCATAAAGACGAAGCGGATTTGAATTAAGCACCGGATAACGTACAGCGACTGTGCATCCTTCGGCGAAGGAGGGAGGGAGGGAGGGGGGAGAGGGAGGCAACTGTTTTGTATCTTGGAAGCCCTGGGTTAGGAGAAGGGGGGAGGAGGAGCGCAGAATGAGCTATTCTTGTACCAGCAGAGGCAGCAGCCAGGACCCATCAACCGTTAAGAAGCCTGCCGGTAATAATCCGGGCAGAGACACCGGAGGCACAGACAGCAGCAGCCCGAAGCAAACGGCGGCGATGAAAGTGAAGAAGGGCTGCAACTCGACCGACGTCGGGGTCCCGGTGACCACGGAGGAGGACCTGCTCGGCAGCACGGTGGTCACTCCGGAGGATGTTCTGGGCTTGCAGAAGATCACAGAGAGTAAGTTCACTGTCGGTTATTGAGTGACACGCACAAGGACAAAGGTGTTGAAATGTTCCAGCTCCTGCATGAGTCACGTATCACGTCATTGCCGTGTCCCCTTATTTATGTAATCTCTTTAGGCCCTATTCCAGCACATGGTAATGCATCACTGGAGCCCTGTCCTGTGGTGAACGTTAACCTCCTCTGCTGGCATCTCGGTTTCCCTGTGACCTGCCAGCGTTGTTGGAGGTTAAGTTCAGCACAGGTGGGTGAGTGGGTGCTTTAAGAAACACCATGTGCAGTTCGAGTAAGTGTGATGGAGTGAAAGACTCCTCAAATGCAGATGTTAGTCAATTTGCTGCAAACATGCATGACATTTTTTCCTCTTAAACAGGATGATTTTATCCAACTAGAAGGATGCAGAATGAGAATGGGGGGACTGAGGAGGCATCCTTCAAAGCAGCATGTATGCTTCCTTTGCATCAGTTCACATTTAGTTCGGTGCAGACGTTTTCACCTGAGCGGAGAATTAAAACACCCAGGTGTCATGTCCGTGTGTGTTTGTAATCGACAAAAATTCATTTTTGTTTTAACAAATATGTGGAATACAGATATCTAAAAAACCTTTTCCAACTCTGGGGAGCTGGTGTTGAAATGTTCTAGCTGGAGTTTACAGTTTAATTGTGCAGTCAGTTTGCTTGGGATTTAAAATAAACTTCATCAAAAAGGTTGTATGGTATTGTATGAGTAGTAAATTAAGCTTTTACTTAAATATAAATAGCAATACTTAAATACAAGTAATACCACAATGTCAAAACACTCCGTTACAGTAAATGTCTTGCACTCAAAATCCAAGTTAAAGTACAAAAGTATTGTTATTATCAGCACTTAAGTATTTGTTATCAGACAAACTGACCCTGTTATACATCTGCATATTACAGTGTGTTGTAACATCAGAAAAGTAGCTACTATCAAAGTAAAGTTTAGGCTCAGTGAATATAGTCTCTATACACAAGCAGAGCATCTCATTCAATGATAAACAAACCAATTTTATATTTATTTTCTTGTCATTTTCTGCCTCTTCACACATTTTGAATACCATGTTGAACTTTAAATGGCTCATTTTAATGACATATTCATCATGTTAAAATTATAAAGCTTAATGTATTTTTCTTTTTTTATGTCACACCTCTAAATCTCAAACAAGCCTCGTATAGAGAAAACACGGAGCGATAGCAGCCAAAGGAGCTCTTATGTGCAAAAGAACAGCTACATTTATCACCAACTCAGGTCTTAAACCAGTAGTTAGCTAATAGTTGGCCAGCAGGGCATTTGACTATTTAAAGACCGGTATAATACCTTACACAACACGGTTACATTGGCCATTACGGTGCAGACTGAGTGTGATAACATGCAACCACTCTGTTGGATTTTCTTCTAGCATTTAAAAGGCATTTAAACTCACCAGCACACATTCACATTTTGTGCTGATGGTCCTGTAGCTTTCCACATGTGACAGTGAGATAAGCCATGCAACTCGTGCTCGTCTCTCTATAAACTATTTCTACAGTGAAGATAACTTCCTCAAATCATATTTGTCATCATTTTATCCTATTTGTTATTCGTATTACCTTTTCGTGAAGCTCATGCTAATACAGGGAGTGTATGCTGTAATGAGGAATGAGACCTTGCTCGTCCACGCCAACGTAATCACAGTTTACTGAGAAGAGGAAAAGCTCGGGGAACATCCTTTGGCTCAGCTTCTTCCTTGATAGCCACCGTCAAGTTTCTTTAAATGTCTTTTTTTACGTATGTTGCACACATGAGTGTCTGTCGTTGGTGATTTCCACGAGTGAGTCTGTGTGTGGGATCGTTGTCCAGCTGCACAGCGACGGCAACATCGTAATGATTCTGTCTCCCACGCCGAACTTATTATGGTCTTGGAAACTCTCACTTTTCTATCTCGCAGCGTCATCGCCGGAGGCAATAGGAGGCATGTGTGAATCACCACAGCAACGTGAATACACGCTTGAATCACTACGGCAACATGAAGCATCTCCTCGTGGTTACAGCCAGTGGAGCGTGCAGCTCTGTTCTCCTCCACATTTCCTCCTCCTCTTCTTTCTTCTCCTCTGCTTCGCTGTTTCACGTAGTTGTGCTGTCACTTGATGGATTACACAGACAAAACGGACATATGTGCACACACACTCACGCTTGCTTGTGCAAAGCAGGAAACCGCCTGAAGAAAGCCACTGCTGCCCTTCTGTTGTTTTGTGACTCGTCTGTCTCAGTTATTTCCTGCTGCTGCACATTCTCAAGTGGCTGAAATTGATTCCCTCCCGAAGTGGCATGATACACTGACAAAACTCCGCACAGCTCAGTTATACTTGACAACAGTTGTGAGTCAGAAACGTTGTTGATTGAAGCTGTTTGGAGCATAGATGTCTCACAGGAGAGGGATCTTCCCTTTGTGTCGGATACATTCTCACAAAAAAGACTTTCAAATAGCGTGAAGTTGCCACGAATCATTTTCTGCTCCATCCGTCTGGTAATCAAAGCAAACTGCTGAGATTGATTAAGAGTTGCATAGACGTAACAGTTGACTGATCTGTTCCAAACTTATGTTCTTAACTGAATCTTAATCTGCCGACCCATCACAAACTCAGATCTGCAAGAAAGACTCCTTTGCAGATACTTGTTTCTTTTAAGGAAACAGTTAGTTTCATAGTTATTATTTTATCAGATTAATCAATTGTTTTGTTTCAAGCTGAAACGATTTGTTGATTCAGTTAAGAGAGTTTGGTGAACACTCGTACCAAAAAGCCTCGCGGGAAAAAGCAAGATTGAGGTTAACGTCCTTGCATGAAATCCATTGCGTGCTAGTGTTTCATTACAGTAATTAACACCCACCACTCTCAGGTGTGTTATCCCACATGAGACATAAGCTTCCCTTCAGCTCAGTGAGGGCTTCTCTACTATATACATAACACAGCCAGCTGCTACTGGACTTCTACCACTCTGTCCCGTAGGCATGTAAACCACACATATCGTCTCCTGTCCTCTTGATCACCTCACAGCGGCTCTCAGTGCTGTGTAGATGAAGGTCCCACACAAACATTTTGTCAGTGTTTGTTTTATTGGCTTCTTTTTATGTATATTTGATCTCACTTATAGTTTTACAATTTTCATGTTAAAGTTGAAAGTATAATTTAGTTGTTGTTGATTGTATCTAACTTTTTGCTGACTGACAAAACTCCTGACACAACTGGCTCATGATTACGTTTGAAATTAATGAATGAAACATAAAATATGCCAAATTGCAGAAGGACAGTGCTCTAAAATGTTATGTCATCTTCACTTTACAACTTTTTAATTCGTTTGCATTGTAAGCCAGAAAAAGGTTGCAATGCCAGAGACTTAATTTGCAAAACATCCTCTTCTAATCACTCTGTGAACTGTGATGGAGTTCGATATTGTTCAGGTTTAGAGGGCGACACATCTCGTCCCTGTCTTACTGACCTGAATTTACCTGACTACAGGGTCATGGCACAATGAGTGAGTCTCTGAAATCCTCTGAGTAGTAAACAATATCTGTGTTGGGCCTTCTCTAATTTTATGACCCATCTGAATAATCTCATAATTATTCTGACAAGCAAATCAATTTGACCTCGGTTTCATCACCTGCTGCCCCGTTTAACTTGACAGTACGGAGCATTTAACTGCATCAGATGCAGCACACTGCTAAAAGACTCTGACCACATTTCTATATAGACAATAATTCATCAGTCCTCGACCTCAACCAGTATTTCCCTATGACAATCCGAGTAGGGCTGCAACAAACCATTATTTCACTGTCAATTAATCTGCCAGTTGCTTTCTCTATTAATCGTTCGGTCAAATTAAATGTCTTGTGTTTTCTGACCAACAGGCCAAAATCCCCAAATACTTAACTACTAATTTGTACTCGTATTAGTAACTTAACTTGTTTATCAAGCTACAGTTTCAAACATTTGCTGGTTCCATATTCTAAAATGTGAGAAATTGCAGCTTTTCTCTGATTTATAATGTAAATTGAATGAATGTTTAACAAAAATTTGCTACTTAAAAATGTTACTTTGAGCTCTAGATATTAGATACAAAATTAGGGCTGGAACTAACAATAACTTTGCAATAATTCGTTTTTAGAAATTGTTTCGTCAATGTGTTGTTCGACCAAAATATCCAAATGTATTCAATGTCAATGATCCATTTTTTTTTTTTTTTAAACCATCAAATTTCCACATATCAAAAGCTGGAATCAGAAAACTATTGGCAATTTTTCCTATTTTGGGCTCGCAATATAATGAATCTTTCATCAAAAACATTAATCAAACTTCTTGCACATTGCTCCTTTAAACCTGATTAATGCGACCGGTTCTCGAGATTTTATCTTGAGCATTTGACGATCGATACTTGTTCCGCTCCATATGTGGGCAAGTTTCATTCACAACAAGCCTCTGTGAGGCTGCACTTAGGCACAGCGGTGCTTAAAAAGGCTAATGTCTGCATGCTAACATGCTCACAAAATATTTTAAATGCACTTCGCCATTTTAAGATCGATCATTCTCAGTTTTTGCCCAATTTCATGTTGCTTTAATATGGCTTCATATGCCAGTAATCTTAAACCCTCCCGCTGGAAGGTTCCTAAGATCTCTCCTGTCCCAGCATTATCTGGGTGAACAGCTAAAACAAGCTCACAACTGTTTATTTTGGCTGAATCTAGGCCATGTGGTTCAGTGTGTGTTGAACTGTGGACCTGACCGACTCAGTTTAGCCAGTAAACTGCTGATTTCTGCCACGTCTGCTGTGATCAACCGAGAGATGACAGAAAACAAACATTGTCTTTGTCATAAATCTATTTTGTTTAAGGTATGAACATTAAGATTTCTGTGCTGGTTGATCGGTTGCTGTTTGCAACAACAATAATGCAGTTTAACACTGCAGCAAACACTCGTTGAGCAGCTACTTTGTCAGAAATCTTTACTTTTTTTATTACCACACTTCAAACCATCTGTTAAAAAAACTATAAAAGTCCCAAAGAGACATATCATTGTGTTGGTTTCCAACACCAAAAAAAAATCACCAGAAAACATTTTACGATACCCATCCGACATGACGTGCTGATAAAAGATGTAATTATAAGTGAAGGCTGTAAAATGTTGGATCTGGAGGTCGATACATTAGTCTTGTGATGAGGACACATGACATCTGTTGTTAAAAAAAAAAACTGCTGATGTTGAAGTTTGAAGAAGTGGTTGAGACGAGCTTCCTGTTTTCCAGCAGCGCTGCAGAGTTACTGCAACACTTATCTTAGTGTGTTTCCTCATTCAACTTCACGTCACTGAACACTTTGAATTCACAAAGGTTGTCTTTTGGTTGTATAAGTCCTATAAAGACACACACACACACACACACAGGGACAGGGACGGGTTCTGTCTCGGTGTGTTTACTATCACAGCACCCCGAAGGAGAGCTGACAGTGATGAACAGGGGTCTGATCACGGCTGCATTAGCTCCTAGCAGCAAGTTATCCTCAGGTGTGTGTGTGTGTGTGTGTGTGTTTGTCCTAAGGTAGTAGACTGTGTGTGATTTACTACACACACACACACAAACGAACAGCAAACTCTCTTGTTCAAACTTCTTGTCTGTACTGTAATTATGAGACTCAACGTTAACTGTTAGCTACTAGCTGTGTGAGGCTACAGTGTTGTATAACCTACACAAGTACACACACTAACTGTTATCAAGGCCCAGCTCCTTGCAGCCATAGATGATGAATGCTATTATTTAGAATGATGTGGCTGCTGTTTGTTTGTCGGTCTCATGTGTGTGTGTGTGTGTGTGTAGAGACTGTGTGGATCTTCAGGTGTTGTACGGCGGCGTGTTCAGCCGATGTGTTCAGAAGAGCCGACCTCAGCGTTCAGACTGACAGAGGAGCAAAGGCATCCGAGCGTCACAATGAATCAGATCAGCTCTGTCAGGAGGGAGCACTCTTTAAACGGAGTCGACAACACGCTGTGACTTCGGGTTATGTTTCTCTGCTCCGGCATGAACACATAAACATGAGAAATAGCATGCAGGGAGCATTGTAAACAATCTTCCAGGGGGAATTAATGTAGAAATAAACAGCATTCAGGAAGCAAAAAGGCTCCAGCTTGGTAACAATGTGAGTAAGTGACTAAAAACACTTACATTTACATTTCAAGTTTAGCAACACTGGTGAACTACAGACTAATAGACAATTCAAGGTGCACATTATTGAAATCATATCCAATCATTTTCCTCACAAGTGGTTTGAGGTTTGATCGAGCGTTTTTATGAACTTAATTTTGAAGCATTCGCGTGATCAATTTCATCGTTCTTCTTTTACACATGGGAGCCGTCATTTTATGTCCCCGTGTCAAGGATCTTTTAGATTTATCCTCACTTGTGAAGCCGTCTGTAAAGTCTTTGTTGATCACCTTTCTGGTGTTTAGTAATGATGGTTGATGGTTTGCAGGTACATGTGATGAATTAATGTTGCAGAAGCTATGAATAAACACAGCCCTGCATAATTCTATGTTGTCAGGTGTTTTGCATCAGCAGTTCATTTTAAATCAGACCTTTACCGTCAGTGCTGACCCTCCCGTGTCTTCTTACACACATCCTGATCCACCAAACTAAAAGACATCATGACATTTTTTTTAAATGTACCAAAAGTAAGATACTGATTGAATCAATTTAGCAAAAAAATTCATATTTAATCAAAAATATGAAAAACAAACCATCATGAGATGCAGAGTTGGGAGCTGATGTTAACATCTGGACACATCACGTTGTCTTGTTTTTTAGTGGGAAGCTGTCGATGCGTCACAGAGGACAGCTGGTGGGTTGATTGGACAGTCAGAGCTCCCGTCATTAGTGATTAAATTATCCCTTGTGTACTGATAGACGTCCATGTCTCCACTGTTGTTCCTCTTTGTCTTTGGGCAGACATGTGGTCAGCCGACACAGCGTGCGTCTGTGTGACAACTGCAGATTTATTAACTTGTAATCACACATTCACTGACTCAGACCTGCAGCGCTCCCCTCTCTGAAACAACGTTATCCCAAATGTATTTGTCATTTATTTTTCATCCATGTGAGCTTTATGATTGCCGTAGTGAGGCAGTGGAGATGATGAAGAGATGTTGAAGTTACACATGCCGGCCTGCGGTGCCATCGGATCAGGCAGGAAGTGTCTGCTCTGCTGGGGAACGCTAATACGCAGTGACACTGCCCGGTGAGGGCAGGAAGGATTAGAGGAATGAAAATAACTTGTGTCTCTTTCTTACTGGGTGTGTGTGTGTGTGTGTGTGTGTGTGTGTGTGTGTGTGTGTGTGTGCCTCCATTGTCCCATTTGTGAGGAATTGGCTCCTCTAACACATTGCCTAAATGAAATATTTCTTCAATGACATCTTAAAATATCTGATCAAAGACCGATCCAACCGTCACTTTTTGACCCTCTCTGCTCTGAACACATTTCACTCTCAAAAAGTATTGATCAGAAAGTAAAAAAGTGCATCCTTTGTATTAGTGTTTAATCTGTAATTTTCTCTCTATCTTTCCCCTATCTTTTTTAGATTATCTTTGCAACCCGGACGAGAACATTTACAACATTGACTTCACCAGGTTCAGGATCAGAGACATGGAGTCCGCCACGGTGCTGTTTGAAATCACCAAACCTCCATCCACAGGCGAGTCACTGATGGATTTCTTTCACTTAACCTACAATTAACATGAAAATACTTGCAGTAAATCAACATTATAAAGCACTTATCCACTAAACAAATCCATTAACTTCCCACCAACACATTGGTGCTTATTCTACCAAACAAAATGCATAGTTTTTGATAGCAGACATGAACTGGAATGTAAACCTGGCACTTATTCTACTTTTCTGGGTTGTTTAATACTGTGTGTTTTGTAACAGGCAAGCCAAGAAAATGTCCGTAACTAAAAAGATTTACTTTAATTCTGTTTCTGTTCCGCGCAAACTGATCCTCAACTTAGACAAAGCAGGGGAGAAGGGGGATGTTGACCCAAACGCCGGCCGATTTGTCCGTTACCAGTTCACCCCCGCTTTTCTCCGACTGCGGCAAGTTGGAGCTACGTAAGTGAGAACATGTGAATCTTTACTTATAAGGATGTGTCCTCTGTGTCTTCCTTTGTTTGTCTGTAATTTCCCTGCCCCGCTCACCTGTTTCTGTCTGTCTGTCTTCGTCCCTGCAGCGTTGAGTTCACGGTCGGAGACATGCCGATAGAAAACTTCAGGATGATTGAGAGACATTATTTCAGAGAGAAGTTGCTCAAGAGTTTTGACTTTGAGTTTGGCTTCTGCATGCCCAGCAGCAAAAACACCTGTGAACATATCTACGAATTTCCACCTCTGTCTGAAGACATCAGTAAGTCAATGCTTCATAATATATTCTCAATTAACAAAACAGTTGTTGATAAGCTTTCTTTCTATGGCGTTCAATAGCAGTTCAGTGGATCACCAAGATCAGTAAGATTCATTGTCTGGGGATCATGAATGTCTTTACCAAATTTCATGGCAGTCTAATGAACGGTTGTCAAGATATTTCAGTCTGGACCAAAGTGGTGGACCGACAGACCGGCATTGCCATCCCTATAGAGCCGTGCTGCTAGCATAGCTAAAAGAAAACATAAAAAATGTGTATTCATTGTTTCTTATCGCTATACTCATCTTGGGACCCCTTCAAATGTATCTTGGACCCCTTGGTTGTGAACCAGTGCTCTAACAGCAGTGATGTTTTTGTGTCTGCCCTCAGTCAGAGAAATGGTCCTGCACCCGTATGAGACGCAGTCCGACAGCTTCTACTTTGTGGACAATAAGCTGGTGATGCACAACAAGGCGGACTACTCGTACAACGGCGGGACGTAGAGACGACACGCGGACACGAGAGACAGGTGGATGTACGGACTGACCTGGGGGGGGGCGATCAGAGTACACTGGTGGGACTAACATCCTGTCAATCCAGTAGTCTCTCTCTCTTTATCTCTCTCTTTCTCTATCTCTTCCTCCCGCTGAGAGAACGCCATCCAGAAAACGGCCACACAGACGCGTCAGTTACAAACTCTTTGTGTGTTTGCGTATGTGTGTGTGTGTTAGCATGTATAAGTTTGGCAAAACCTAAAAGCTGCAAACACACACACAGTTCACAGCATGGCGTGGGGTCGCTGTAACAAAGTGTTTTCGTAACATGATAAACCAGCAAGTAAGCAACTTTTTAGGAAATATCAGATGTTTTTTCGCTCTCTAGCCACGTAGTGTGAAGTGGAAAAAGTTAAAACCTCCGTAATATCTTTCATTGCTGTATGTTAGGGTTTAGGAACACATATTGCATCTAAACTCGAGTGTTTTATGGACTTCAGTTCTTGTTCTCAGTTTCCGTGAGTGAGCTTTTTGGAGTGTGTTTGTGTACTTTGTATGACTGTCTGTGTCTGTCAGTGTGATGCATGACTAATGGTCTGGTAAGAATATATTAACTTAAATGTCAATAACGTGGTCATTTGGTTTCTAAAGGTAAAATAGATTTTGGAAACCCGTTAGTTCATCAGACCCGTTTTCTTTGTTCCTCATTTATTTCTCGAGTGGTGTGACGTGTGTTGCCCATAGGGCGTATGTGTTCATCGTCTTTGCTCAAAGCACAACATGTCGGCAGAACTTGTGAAGATGAGCTAATCTGAAATGCCCATAATGTACTTTGTCATGTGTGTACTAGTTGTACTTCCAGCCTCATGTTGCTTTGTTTAGGTCAGAAAGAAGTTGTTAAAACTTTTGTTAGGTTGCCTATCCGAGTTGACGTTTTTGCTGTTTGTAAAGACTTCATAAGAGAAGAAGAAGAGAAGAGAAGAAAATTAGCATTTTTAAATGTTGATTTGTTTCAATCAGATTTGTGTTGCACAAAGGAAAGAGATAGAGGGAATGTAGCAGAAATCACCCTAAAATATATTTTTTGGTTTGTGTGTATTCTAATGTCTGTTTCTAAATCCGTCTGTCTCGCGTCTCTTAAGTCCATTTGTTGTTTCTCTAGTTTCTGCCTCTCATACATTTCTGACTGTTTTTTTTATTTTTTAGACACATTCCAGTAAGTTAAGACCTGAGTGTGTTGATCTCTTGTTATTTGAGGGAATCTATCACACAGAGAATCAGTGTCTTGGGACGCCTCTAAGTTGTGGTATGCTCACTTGCCGTTCTCCCTGACTGTGCGGAGACACAACCCGACTCAAAAAGTGTTTCAGCCTATCTGCATATACTCTTTGATTTGAATTTCTCGAAAGTAGGTTTTGGTTGCTGTGTTTTTAGTGATTCTGCAGTAAAATCCAACCTGCATTTGCAAATACTGAGTCAGGTATGTAAGGAAGTGCAGCCAGTTTAGAGGAACTCACATTAATGCACCCGTTGTGTGTTCAGATCAACACAAGAAAAGGGTGGAAATGGATTCAGATTGTCTTCGGGACTTTGTTTTAGTCTGCACTAAAGTTTAAAAAAAATGAATAAAAAATACAGACAAGAAGAGCTCAAATTGAACTCGGTGTGTAGATAAAACTGACTTGAATGAGTGTTATGTCAAAAAATCTAAGTAGAGCAGATTTATTTTTGACTGATTGTGACTCGTGTACAAATTATTTTGAACAGATGTCGATTTCTTGACCATTCAAATGTCGGTATGACTGAACAAAAAATAAATAAAGATTTACGGGACTTTTTTGAAATATCACAGTGTCTTGACTGTTAATATTGTGAGTGAATGAGAGATATTTCACACTTTGTTTACATGATATTTTTAGAACATTAACGGCTCTGGCTAAAGATGTTTTTTTAGCATCTCATGCACTTTGAGGACATGTGGCCCTTATAACTGGAATTTATTAAAGGAATGGTTCAACATTTTGGGAAATACACTTTCTTACCGAGATAAGAAGATTGATTCCACTCTCATGTTTGTCCCTTCAGTGTGAAGCTGGAGTGAGGGGATGGTTAACCATGAAGATGGTTAAAAATGAGCCTACCAGCACCTCAAATGCTCACAATCAAGACGTTATATCTTGTTTGTTTAATCAGACAAGAAATCTTTTGGTGGATAACATTTTTACACTTGGGTTTTTGTACCCATTAAACAAAGAACATGTCAATTAATGAGTTTTAAAGGCTTTTTTTTTTTTTACCATATAGGACAAAGCTCGGCTGGCTTGTTCCCCTGGTTTCCAGTCTTTATGCAAATCTAAGATAACCAGCTGCTTTATTTTTACATTTACCGTACAATTATGAGAGTGATATCGGCCTTCTGTCTGCAAGGAAACAAATATGCGTATTTCCCCAAAGCGTCAAACTATTCCTTTAATAGCTTTCAACCGGATTAATCTAGGCGACGTATTTAGAAATTGAGATTATAATGTCCCTTGAACTAAAACAAATAATCACAAAAAGTTAAGAAAGGTAAAGTAAATACTTGTTCATAAAACAGTGCAACAAATACACTGATAAAAAATAAAATGTGCGACAATGAAACAAAGTATTTAACAACAAAAGACCACAGTAATAAGTTAAATCAACTCTTGCAATTATTTCAGTTTCAGCTCATTTCCACATTGTTTGTAAACACAACATCACTCAGAATAATCACAATTTAAATGACCACTCACACACACAGTGTGCATCTGTGAGTGATAAATAGATCAAAAAGATAACGTCACATTCAGGAAAGTGTGTACAAGGAAGTGACCTCAGTTTTGTTTCTAATGAACACTTCATTTTTGTTTTGTTCTGTCACTGGAACGACACGAGGAAGTACTAAACACATACAGGGGAGAGTCCGTCTAATTATAGAGCTGATAATCTGATATCGCTTCAAGCTTATCACAGTTATTTTTTTACCAAGGTCTCGTTTTATATATTTACAGGTTTGTATGAGAGTATATGGTGCACCACTGCCAAGCGAAACTTGATCTAAATGGTCTTTAAACTTTATTTCCTTTACGACATTTACTGTAACCAACCTTTAATTTACTCAACTTCTGTATAATTGCTTATTTAGTCATGCTTATCTTAGGACTGTTTTATAGAGAGTCACTTAAGGTTTGAAGTTTTCAAGGGCTTTAAAAAACAATTCTGTGTCATTCCTGTTCTCCATGTCTCTCTCTCCGTCCTCCCCTACTCAAGGTCCGCTGTTTGTAATGTTGACCCAATGAGGCATGGTGCCCAAGTCAAACATGGCGTATCCCCAGGTGTTGATGCCTAAATTAACGGTCAAAATCCCAATGATGTTCAACACGAAGCCGGTTTTCACCTGAAGGAACAGAGAGTGACATTCTGATCAGTATACAGTATGAGTAGAGGTCGAAAAACAGGGTATGTACAGGTCTAGGTCTTTAAAAGTCTTAAAAAGCAATGAATCCTCAAAGGGAGATGTTACACACCATGAATTAAAATCAAAGACTCAAAACATGTTTTTAAAACCTACAAGGTCTCTGCTGCATCAATATTTCTCACCAGTCTTTGTAAAGTACGATTTTTCTCCTGCCTCAACAAAGACTATCTTTTTTTAAATTAGGTCCTCTAAACCTCCCTCACATGAATGATTCTTGTAACATAGATTATGTATTGTGAGTATGAATCTCACCATGTCCATGACTTTGAGTTTTCCAAAAGAAAAGGCGATGGCGTTGGGTGGTGTGGCCACAGGCAGCATGAAGGCCAGAGAGGCAGCGATGGTGCAGGGAATCATCACGTACAGCGGGTGTATCTCAATAGCTATGGCCTATCAGAAATACACAGCACAGTTAAATACACGGAGAAGCTGTGTGTTAACACCTGTGTGTGCAGGTGGACACCTGCTTACCATTGAGGCCAGGATGGGCAGGAACAAGGTGGTGGTGGCTGTGTTGCTAGAGCACTCGGTGAAGGTTGCCACCAGCATGCAGAGCAGCAACGAGATGGCGTAGGGGGGAATTTGCTGCAGAGGTGCCAAGCTATCTCCCAGCAACTTGGACAGACCTGACTCCTGTTAACAAAAGTTTTGAGCAGAAATGACGTGAAACACAGGAGGTACAAGAATTCCTCGCATTTGAAAAGCAAAAAACAGAATCAGTTTGACAAGATAAATAAATAGAAATTAGCATTCAGTTGTGGATTAGTCAACAAATCATAAATCAATAAAAAGGGAACATGAATTGTTAAAGGGATAGTTGGAATGTTTGAGGTACTTATCCAGAGTCAGTGTGTTATCTACAGTAGATGGCGGTTGGCATCTAAAAGAAAGGCCTATAGATCAGTTTTAGTGTACGCCAAATTTAGAATATTTTCACTGTTTTACGTTGCCATCAGACAGCCATTACCTCTAGTGAACTGAAGCTGTTTGTTTGTTTTGTTGTGTGTCTTTGGTGTTTTGAAAGGTTTGTTAAGATTCACCAAAGTCTCACAATGAAACTAACCGATCGAGGCAGCGGTAGATGAGCAACTTCCATGATCTGTAAAGTAAAAATCGCTGTTTTTGTCAATGAAGTCTGGTTGGCTTTGAAGAGATCATAGATGGATAAAACGGTTTCAGTTCCCCGTCGGAAAGGGCTGAGTGACAGCAGGGAAAATATTCTAGATAAAGCGTACACCTAAATATACTTTTTTGTTAGGTGGGCCTTTCTTTTTGACAGCAGTACATTGCTTTGCTTCCGTGCTGGGACTCCTGGCTGTTTCTCCAAACTAGGGGCATGCTTATCGCCATTTACTGTAGATAATGCACTGACTCCGTACTATACCTCTCTGGGTGTTTACCTCACTGCCAGCAGCCAGAGCATAGCCTCCTCCCAGCAGCAGGATGATGTTCCAGGGCATTCGCTCGTGGACCACCTGCCAGGTCAGCAGAGTGGTGGGAGCATTCACTGTCTCACCTGTGAGACCCAGATGAAGTGTGAACATGAAAAAGTTAATTGCTTTTAAAGAGCGGTGTCATATCCGCTTGGTTATCTTCATCCAGTGTTACAATGAGCTGAAATGTAGGTCACACGAACATCATGAAGGCATTGTATTATTAGGGATTAGTGGATTGAAAATTTCACCTTCGGCATTGATGCCGTAGCCTCCACGCTTGGGCATCTGGGAGGGGATGACGAAGAACAGCATCGACATTAAGATAGCGATGGTTCCATCGGACACAAACCTAAGGGACAAAATGATAGTTTGAATGTGTTGCTGCTATTTTTTCCGTCTCTGTTTCACTGTTGTCATAGTGCAAAACCCTGGAACTATGAACAGAGATGCATTTATGTGTAAATGATGTGCTAGTATTACATCTTAATGCCATTTGTGTTGAAGAGATCAAGGGTTCATGGGTTTCTGCATACTTTGACGGAAAAATAGAGTTTAAAGTTTAAAGGATAAATCTGAAAATATTCTCAATGTTTATAATTGTCAAACAAATGAAAAGATCACAGTAATGGAGATGTATGGCACAGAAGAATAATGTATATCACAAAGAAAAGCGTAAGAAAGTGAAAGACTCACGGTCCCCCCTTATTGAAGAGCACTGTTGCCCAGCCGTCTATGAAGCCCGGCTCCCTGGTGAACCACAGGGCTACCAGCAGGACAAAGATGATGAGCACTGCCCACTCAGCAAACGGCATGCGCTCCAGCTTATTGTGCTCCTGCTTCATCACCGCGTACGCCTCCTTATCTCTGTCGCTTTTTATGCCGCAGCCAAATGACTTCTTCATGCTGAGGAGAAAAGTACAAAGTTCAAATATGCCGCAGATTGGAAATCAAAGAAACGTTTGAGGATTTATAAGCATGGACTAAACTTAAAGGTTGAGGAAACCATGGATTTACAGCATTTTTTTCATAGTAGTGTCATTATATGGTATACCAAGTTTGGACAGAAAAGTTACTGGTCCCAGTCAAGATATAATCTGGTTCAAATAAGATACACATAAATACTAAGTGAGCCTTAGGTACTGGTCGGTGGATTTTGTTATCTTCAGACAGAGCAGGCTGGCTGTTTCCATTCTTTTTACTAAGCTCGGCTAACAAGCTTCTTCCTTTCTGATATTTTAAAAAAGGGTTTTAAAAGCACTTGCCACCTTCAATACAGTGGAGGTAATTTCACTGTGTGCAATGCGTTGATTACTCAGGGTACTCCACAAACCTTGAACTATTAAGAAATAAATACCACATGATGGAAGTGGGACCATATTTTTAAATTTGGGGTTTAGTAACCATTTAAACATGCTGACTGTACTAGGCTGAAGTTGTCTTACTTGAAGCCCAGGAACACAAAGTGAAGCCAGAGAAAGGTCAACACCAGCATGAGCACCGCGTTGGGAAAAGCGAAGCCAAACCAGCTGGCAAAGTTGATGACATCATTATTCTCAGGGAAGAGCCTTTACAAAAGATGAGAAAGACGGAGAGATGAGAGGAGAGCACAAACAGCTGGAATAATATTCTCCTGTGTTTGGTAATGCCTTACTCGTCGATTTGACCCTTCAGGATGAGGTTAGGGGTCGTGCCCGTGAGCGTGGCCGTGCCTCCGATGCTGGCAGAGTAACACACACACAGACTCATCCCTTTGGTCAGGAGCTGGTACTTCATCTCCAGCGCTTTTCTCTTGGACTCCTGCAGTGACTCTGGCCTACACTCATGTTCATCTGGAGCCCAAGGCATTCAGTAAGTTAAAGTTATCGGAAAGGTTGTGGTCATCTATAGCAGACTTTGTTACTTACACTCTCCGTCCTCCAGCTGAACCTCGGTGTCTGGCTGTTTCTCCTCCATCTTTTCCTCTTTAGTTTGTGTGATCTCCAGCTCAAACGCGTGGTTGTTCTCTGCTGCAGCCTGGAAATCTCGCTTGTCCGCCAGAGCCTCTGTGGCCTTCAGCTGCTGCAGCACGGCCTGGGCTATGGGCAGCATCATGGCCGTGGTGGCCGAGTTGCTGATCCACATGGACAGGAAGAATGAGACGATCATGAAGCCCAACATTAACCTGTGTGAGAGGGTGGTGACGGTTAGTAAATACGAGGACAGGGATCACGAGTAGAACAGTATTGGTGGTGATTAGATCTGTGGTGTTTTTTTGTTTTTGCAGCGTGTTTCTGTAATTGAGTGCAAATGGATGAAGCTGAGGTCTTTGATTTATTTTTGTGTATGTGCATCTATCATCCCGAGAGATACATTATATCATAAGAACTGCTGAATGGAGGATTTGTGTAATCAATTGAGCATTTCTGACATCTGAAAACATGAGCAAGTTAAGACTAAAAAGATCCGTGGAGGCACCGCTGACCCTCCGGTCACATCTTTCTTTTCGCTGTCTGCTGTAGTGTACACAGGTGAGCCGTATCACGTTTCCTTACAGGGCCGGACGAACGCCAAGCAGCAGCAGAACTCGGAGAGCGATGCGCTTATGAAGGCTCCAGTGCTCCACTGCGATGGCCACCAACAGGCCACCAATGAACAGCATGTTCGAGTCTTTCAGATATTCGATACTGACCTGAAACACATCACACAGACACTAACTTCAGCAGAAGAATCAAAAATCCAAACACGTGCAAAACAAACATTGCATGTCTTTGAACTAAAGTAATGACCTGTGAGCATGCTGCCCTATTCATAATGTTTCATCCAATTTGTTTTATGAGCAATAAAAGTAAAATACTGGATCAGCAGATTTGACTGTCTATACAGTAGACACAGTCAATGAGACTAAAGGTCGGATCGACATTTCCAGTATGCGGTGTTTCATCAATTAATACGAAGCCAATTTCCTGCTCTGTCTGATTCTGACCTTTGACCTTTTGCAAGCCAAGGAAAGACAAATATGAGGTTGTAGTAAGGTGAAATCTCAAAGATGTGTAGCTTAATATAATCACTTGATCAAGAGGTAAGAGGAGGAAAAAAAATGAGGATGGCTGCATAGCAAGTCAGCTGCATTTAACTTAAGTTGGTCTCATCCCTTTTCTGATTGTTTGTTCACATTATATAACTTTGCTCCAAGTGCTGTCAAGGACGACGGAAGAACAAAACCTTAGAAACCTACCAAAATATCAGAGAACCTTCTGTTGAGAAGCAATAGTATTGCTACAGGTATTGGTAAAAAACATATCAGCTGGCGCATAATGTAGCACAAAACTGTAGTCTAAATAAGTACTGTACGTCTCCAGCCTTCATGATGCCCATCATGGGGAAGAGGATGACTGGCAGCAGGGCAGTCACAGCCAGAGGCATACACTCTGTACACCAGTACAGAGCCATGAGGATGATAGCATAACCACATTTGGCTTCCTGTAAACACACACACACACACATACTCGGGTCGGATGTAATTGGCAGTGAAGAAGATGTGTTCAGGCCAAATTGTCTTCATGAGAAATGACAAACATCACGTCATTAATGCAGCATTATATCATTATACATCTAAAATATGCTATGTTCAATATATGATAGTCAAAGTAGAGATTCAGATGTTTGGCCCAAATATCACACACACACACACATAAACAGAGACAGACACACAATTATTGTTATTATAGTAATGACAATAATGTAATTTTGTTTCCATAGTTTAACGAGTTCTGCAGTGAAAAAAGCTGAGATGCATCACTACATCAATAACTTTGCATGCGATGTATTATTTGTCCATTTAAAAATCTAGCATGCAGCCATCTTTATGTGTCTTTATTGGCACCTAAAGGCTCTTTGTTGTCCAATGTGGTTAAAAATTGGTTTAAAATGAACTGCACACTCACCTCACCTCCGTCCAGTAAGTCATTAAATAACGACAAATCGACATGCTGATGAGGTTACATGGGTCACCGGGTTGATAAGATAACTGTGTTTATATGGATCCTTTTAGGAATGTTAGGAAGTGACAAGCACAAGCTACAGAACAAGTTGCTTGCATTCATGTATTGTACATTATAGCTGGATTTATGTTATCAATATTATCAGGTTGATGGTTTATGTTTTCCTTTACAGACAGAGAATCCTGTGGGACGTCACTCATTTCTAAAAGTGGGAAGTAAAGTGTCTGATTTCCTTTTAATTTGTGGTTTTAAGTCATTATTTAAATCCATAATGTATTAATATGCGATTGACACATGCACTGTAGTGTGTCCTGAAATTGTAGAGACAGATTACTAGTTGCAACTATAAAACAACCTCAAAAATGCCGATATAAAATAACTATTTAGGAGGCAATTGTCAGATTAATCAACAGGTTGTAGGCTACTCAAAGGATATTAAATCTTCAGGACAAATATTTGATGTGCATGTGAAACAACATGTGCACATCTGTTGCAATCGTCTCCAGGTGTTAATAACGTGGACAATGTTAGCCAAGCGTAATTAATAAGCATTTCTTTCCATGATGTTCAGTGCATTCAAGAAGTACAAAAGTAGAAAAAAAGGGGCACAGATAGGCAGCAAAGATCTTTTTCAACAGTCAAACCCACCACAACTGTTGTGTAACACCTGTAATGTTCTTTCAGTCAAGACAAACACATTAAAAACACCCAGTTAACTTAGTCAAATCACCTCCATGCACACACACTCACCGATGTAGGGATGATGAGTGGCAGGGGAAGTAGTGCGAGCGGAGTGACAACGATGATGATGTAGTTTCTGTGGTACCACAGCCACCTCAGCCAACTAACCATGATTCTCCTGGCAAAACTGACAAGAAGCCACCAGGAGGAGAAAAACTATCCACAGTGCAACTCAGAAGGGACAGCTGATCAAGACGAACAAAGACTGAATCTACCTACAACAGTAAAGTACAAGTGAAGAAACACAGATGAGCTCCACCGAGAACCACTGAGGTAATGAGACTAATAAGAATGGATCAAAAACCTTTATATCTCTAGTTGCAAATTAGACATTAACTCAACACCGAAGAGATTGCAATCCTTGGCAGAGAGGGAAGTGGAGCTATTGGGAAAGAGAGGAAAGTAATAGTGAAGGTAGAGAGCGGTGGGGGGGATTGGCATGAGGTGAAAGATAGCCAAACGATAGGTTTATCAACTGAAGGAAAGCAGTCTGTCAGGTGTAGCCAAAGGTCAGGTGTTGCACACGGCAACAAAAGGAAAAGCCTATGCGCATGTAGCCACTTAGACACTGTGTTTTCAGTGTCAGAGGACAGAAGTGATTTAATGTCTGACATGTGTTGGCCTAAGTTAAATTTACAATCAATAAGCAGCCTTTTTTTTCCATTTTACCACACTCAATGGTTTTGCTACTGCAGCCATACTTCTCTGGTATGACTGCTCGCTTATGGTGGCTAAAATGTTATCAAAATACATCGCTGTGTAACTGACATTAATGAGTCATTAATGTGCTACTGTCACACGTATGTTATTAGCATTTGTCATTGCACATACATACCAGTAGACTAAAGCCGGCAGCCTAGCTTAGCACAGAACATGGAAACAGCAAGCCTGGCTCTGTAAACGGTCACAATAGCACTTACACCTCATTTGTTTAACGTAAAACCCGAGTGTAGAAATAAAAATGTGTCATTTTACGTTGGGTTGTGAAACAAGTGAAATATAAAACACCTTGCAACAACTTTCTTGCTTACATGTTTGCAAAGAAGCTAGTCCAGTATCTCCCGATGTCACGATGTCAAGATTATAGCAGTTTAATTAGTAGCCTACATCCAATACGAAAACATAAGTAATATATATATTTGCTACTTTGTGATTTGAATTATTATTAAATATATAAGTTGTCATGAACGCTGTTATGCTGACCTGACAGAGATCATTACATACATGCGTTAGGCTGTGTGTTACAGCTGTGATACCTAATATTTAATTGATGATGCTTTAAAATGACGGCTCCAAGGCGAGGATGTCTCATTTGTTAAATGCATGTTGCCTCGACTCCTCTCTCCTCAAGTCTCCTCCTTGCCTCCTCCGCTCACGTCTCCTGTGGGCAGGACTAAGACACAAGCGAGGAGGCAAGGAGAGGAATCAAGGAAACTGGGAAATGAGAAAGACACAAGGAGAGTGAAATAAAACTTTAAAGTAAACAAAAAACTCAAGTCAATTTAGAGTTGTTTTCAGCATTGATTGTCTTAGATGGAGATGAAGGTTTCTTTCAGAAATCACAGAAATAACTAATATCAGCACAGATACTAACTAAAAATAAGTACTCATAGTGTGTAAACCAATAAAGAGCAACGTGAGAACAACCCATTTTAGACTATCAATATCACTGTAGTGTTTTATGAGCTTACACAACACACAGAAATCGGCGAGATATCTTTGTTGTTTTATGACTTATTCTTCATTTTTGTGAGATAAGGTCAAGGAATAGCTTCAATTAAGTCATAAAACACACTGTCAACTGAATAAAATCGAACCAAGTGCATGTGTCGTATCACAGAAAGCATAAATGGAGGGACTACCAGAGAATAATTAAGTTAAATGTGGTAGCTACTCCTATAGATATCAACATTATATTTACATAAATGTTATATGTAGGCCTCACAAGTGATTTTGCTAAACAATGGGAGCTCTACTGAGGTTCTCTCTGATACATAATTCTCAACATGTTTCTTTTCTCATCTGTTCTAATCACAGGAAGCTAATTCTGAAGCTATTTCTTTTTTTTACTATACTGAACATACATGTGGGAAATTACTATTAATGTTGTTTATAAAGCTAGACCAACTGACCAAAAACAGCTGTTAAACTTTGCTGGTTTATTAAACAACATGTATTTGCACCATATTCAAATACATATTCAATATTGACAGTCAATTTCAATTTCAATATAGTTTTGGTTAGCATTTTAAAATCCAGTATAATTAAAAACTAATTTACCGAAATCTTTTCTTCGTTCTTGTTGGTGCACCTCATCTTGAACTCAAATCTTAATCATTATAAACTCCAGGAGGCTGTTCACTGTCAGACCTGCTGCAGGCTCGCATCAGATGCTGAGGTTAAGCTATATAAACAATCTGGACTGCACCACATTCTCAATAAATAGATCTGAACAATAATAATAATTATTAACTCAATAAACTCTGTAGATTAAAACAGTCTTCAAGATATTTCTATGATTTTCAGTGTGTGTTCCTTTAACTGGTCTTTTAAAATAAAGATATTCTCACTAACTGACTGAGAAAGCAAAGTCCAGCTGCCCAAAAATCGAATCTATCCAGTTTTCACTTCACTTTACGTTTGGTGCGACTGGTACTACAGGGCCAGAAATGCTTCAATTTGAGTTTGGAGAAAAAATAAATACACTCTTCTGCTTTTTAACTCTTTGACTGAGTCTTTTAGTTTCTATGGAAAAATCAAGATATTTCAATCTTTAACAGAGTGATGAGGAAGTAATATCATCACTGTTGATTTCGGCCTCTTAGTCTCTCCATGGTGCTGAATCTGATCAACAACTTCTATGACACAATCTCATGTCGGTCAAATGAAAAACGCATACTGCTTTTTGAAAAACACGTTACATTTGTGTTGTTTGAACTCTTTCTAGTTATCGGGGCTTCATTTAGAGGAAGGCATTGTGTTTGCTTTAGGGTTGTTTTTTGCACCACAGATCAATAAGGGGAAAATGACTGCCCTGGTTACACAATGTTTGAGCTCCAATAGCCGCTCCCTCATTCGACCAGAAGTCACATATACCATATATATCGACTTCATGAGACAATAGCACACTTCTGTAGTGTCCAGTCTGGTTTGTAATTTTGCATTTAAACTATTTTCCTTATTAAGGGCCATTCAAGCCAAATAGACCACCAATGATACAGTTATTCTAATCATCTTTCTTGTTTATTTTTTGATAAAGTAAATTATTAATTTGCTGAAGTTGAGTTTTAAATTTGCCACATAACTGTAAAGTCAATGGGTATATTCTGAGCCTTATAGTGAACATGTTCATGTTTGGGGGATGTTCTTGGACAGACAGGACAGAGATCAACCGTCACAGTTTAATGATTGTCACAGCTGAGTGTTGACCAATCAGGATGGCAGATGCCTGGGGGTCAACGGCTTCTGAAAAACATCTATTGATCATCTGCACACAATGCTGCACCCTGAATTGGGGCACTCAAACTCATCAGTGTTCACTGATGTAAACAGGCACACAGTTGTGTTCTCAATTAAGATTCCACATTTTTGGTTTGTTGGTCAGAAGTGTCATATTTTCTGTGAGTAGACATGAAGCCAGCAGTGGCTCTGCTGGCCCTCGTCCTCCTGCTGGACACCACCTTTGCTGCAGAAGGTTAGTCTTCCAGTTTGTCTTTTCAAATTTAACTAATGTTGAAGCTAAATGCAATATTACACCGGCACACTGAATAATAAAGACAAGATAAGAAAACAATGTGAAGTTGTATGTTTTACTTATTCGTAGTGAAATACTAAAAGTTTAAAGTGTTTTTTAATACACTGTATTTTGCAGTATGTGTTCATTCAGTATCGTATTACTTGTACATCTTTAAATGCAGTTGTGTGTGCTGTAGCATCACAAAAATGTATTTCCATTTCATGCTGCTTTATACTTTTACTCTACCAAATTTCAGAAGGAAGCATTTTATTATTTTAACTCAACTACATATATTTGACAGCTGCAGTCCTACATACTATTTACCTTTCAGATCAGAATCTTTCAAGAAACAAAAATATGATAAATATATGAAATATGAAATGATAAGAAAGACAAACATACATCGCAGTGTCTGATAGGGTGTGTGTTCAAAGAAATATCTAGAAGAATTAAGAGAGATACCCCCACCAGGTAGCTCCCGTTAGAGGGATTTTATTTACTGTGTAACATTTCGACCACCAATGTCTTCTGAGGAAGAGCTTGGTGCTTGAAACACATGAAATGAAACACATTTTTGAAAGATTAAATCTCAAATAATCCAATATTTTTTAAAAAAAGCAAAGATTTGAGAAAAGTGCGTGGCAGACCTTTAGGACTTTTGACCTACTGGAGGCGTCAGACCCGGAGGTTGGGAACCAATAGTCTCAAATACCTGTTATCTGTAAATAAAGTAGATAAAACAAGCTCCAGCTCGACCTGCTACATCAGTAAAATGCTACTTACAGTAACCGACACATTGATGAATTAGTGCAGTATATAATAATGTGTCAGTCAAATGGGCCTTTTTTCTGTAGAGTAAATGCTTGTAATGGAGTATTTTGCACTGCTACCAATATACTTTTACTCAAGTAAAGGAGTACGTCCTCCACCGCTGTCTGTCCAAGTCTGAATATATCAATACATGTCATGTCATTTGAAACAAACAAACTGCATTTCCTCAGAGTCCTGTGTGGGTCGCTGTGGCTCCTTCGACCTGCAGGCAAAATGCCAGTGTGACTCCATGTGTGTGTACTATGGGAGCTGCTGCGGGGACGTTGATACCATCTGCCCAAAAAAAAGTCTGTACAGCAGTAGACTATTACCATTTCACGGAATAAACAGTTTTTATTTTTTATTCAAGTTTCTTGTTTTTGTAAATTAATACATTTTTACAGAAACACCTTCATGTGTCACAACGTTCGTCTGTTCTGCCCTCAGCTGCTCGTGGCGATACCTTCGAGGAAACAGATGACGTGACAGAAGCAGCGACGACTGTCACAGAGCAACAAGGACAGGCGCAAGGAACAACTCTCCCACCAACTTTCAACGCAGTTGCAGCAACCGTAACTGCCACATCTCCCACACCCATCACCACACAAGGGCTTGCACCATCTGTAGAGCCTGACGCAGCGGCCTGCAGTGGTCGACCTTTTGATGCTTTTCTGCAGCTGAAGAACAGCTCGATATATGCGTTTAGAGGTAAACCTCCATGTCCACAAGGGGTTCTGTCTTATACAGTATGTTTCTCAAACCTGGACATCAGCACCCTTGACTGCACAAACCTGTGCAGGCTGTACATTTCATTTGGTATTTTTAAATTTTCGGTGTTGATATTTGATACTGCTTTTCCTCCAGGTGAATATTTCTTTGAGTTGGATGAGACGTCCGTTCTTCCCGGTTACCCAAAACTCATCCAGGATGTGTGGGGGATCGCTGGACCCATAGACGCGGCATTCACACGCATCAACTGCCAGGGAAAATCCTACATCTTTCAGGTAGAAACTGCTACCTCTCTCTAGAGTCTGCAAACCTCTGTACACAGTTGATTATTCACTTCATTAACAATGTTTCAGTTCTCAAATCTTCATCAGGTAAAATACTAAGCCAACCGTAACATATTTGTATGTATTATTTTACCATTGGATCAGTATTCATAATAGACGTGCATTGTCTCCTGAGCAATATGTGGCAGCATCAGACCTTACTGCTTTGTGCGTTGTCTTTATTCTCTCTCAGGGGAAACAGTACTGGAGGTTTGACGGTGACGTTCTGGATGAGGACTATCCGCGGGACATTTCAGTCGGCTTTGATGGCATACCAGATGACGTCGATGCCTCTTTCGCCATACCAGCACCAAGTCACCTTGGCAAAGAGAAAGCCTACTTTTTCAAAGGTATCTTTGTAAGGATGTGTGATCTTTTTCAGTATTCAAAAGCTTCTTGAGTTTAGACTGTGATGGGTTTTGATCATATATACATGATATGATCACTGAATGAACGCAGTGCTCAACTTGCATACGCATCTGAGTTCAAAGCAGTTTAGCAGCAGTTTTGTGTGAATAGTTTTTACAGGCAGAGGAAAGTAAACCCATACTGTATTTTATAAGAAAAGAAATAAGACAAAAAATGTGCCATTCTGCACGATTGAGTACTTCTACTTTTGGTACTTTAATATATTGCGATGCTTATACTTAAGTAAACGTTTAAATGCAGGACTTGTACTTGTAATAGAGTATTTCTACACTATTGCTACTTTTACTTCAGTAAAAGAACTGAGTACTTCTGGAAATTTCTGCTGGAAAGTGAAAGTACCTCGTCTCATCATTTCGTACAGGGGAAAGCTTAGTAACTATGAGGACACCCAAAACTTTTTGTCGTGGACAATAGATGTAACCATGGCAGGACCCTGAAACCCCAGCAGCTAAATGGAATTCAGGCATCAAGTTTATTATTGTGTTTCCTACTGTGACAAGTCAAAATGAGTTTCTTTCTTTCTTCAGGGGACAAGTATTACCAGTATGAGTTCAAGCACCAGCCTTCCCATGAGGAGTGCGTCCACATGAGCAGGACCTCCCCCTCTGTGCTGTTCACACGATACACGGACCTCTTCTGTGATCAGACATGGGAGGATTTATTCACGGAGCTCTTTGGAAGCTCCTGTAAGGCCTCAGCTGTCTTTGTGTGTTTCATTGTGTTCTTACACATGTGTTAGTTTCTAATCATCTGTCACCTTTCACCCTTACTCAGTCAGCAGTCACCAAACAGGCCCTCGCTTAACCAGCAGGGACTGGCAGGGCATCATTTCTCCTGTAGATGCTGCCATGGTGGGACGAGTCTACCTCAGCCCCAAACCCACGCCCTCTTCTCCTCCACCAGCGAGGAGGCGCAGCAGTCGGAGGAGGAGGCCCAGCAAGAAGCGGGTACAGCGAAGAAGGCAGAGTCGCCACACGTTGCTCGATGATTTGTGGGGTTATGATGATTGGCTTGACTACAGCGACTTCAGCGGCATCTTTGATGAGACCCCCACGCAGGAGTCCAAAAGAACCCCCGTGCAAAATGTGTATTTTTTCAAGAAAGGTATGAATACATGGAGTTATTTTTTAGCGCATAGTTGGGCTCGGCTGTGTTTCAACACAATAGAAAATTCGAGTGAAATCGACAAAGATTATCTTTGAGCTTCCTCCTTTAACACTGTTTGGATTGTATGTTTATTATCTTTTTATGATGGCAGATAAATACTACAGAGTGGATCTGCAGACAAAACGTGTGGATTCTGCCAACCCTCCTTACCCACGATCCATTGCGAAATACTGGCTGGGCTGCAAGCGTGAAGCGACACCTGATGCATCAAGGGCAGAGAAGAGATAGGCCGGCTTACTGGAGAAATTCACTCTGTTTTAAACGCACCTCTTAGTGAGAAGTCTTAACGTAATTACAAAATGAGCTTATAATAGCTTCTGTTATTTTTGTTGTTTGCATTTTATTCATGATAAATACCCCCTCTGATGTCCCCTCTATATTTAGGTGGAAAGGCAACAAATTCTGCATGATTTAATAAACTTGAGATTTCAGATCTGTGAATAATCTTCTTGTCCAAATGGTGTAGTCAACACACAGAAAAGACACACACACACACACACACACACACACACACACACACACACACCCTGTCTAGCTATCACTACATGCCCAACCTTAACACTGACCCTACCCGTTAACTGAACCGATAAATCAAAGCCCTTCAATTATAAATATATAGAATGTGTCCTCACAAAAGATTGTTACTTGTTTTTGCAAATGGTCACATTGGTATAAGTTATTATTCTCTGCCTCAAAACTGCACATGTACACACTGACTTCAGTTGGTCTAGAAGATATTCTAACATAGCCTGTTACAAGAATAACAGATTGGTGCACTGTGACCTGTGATTCTGTCCTCAGTCTGTCCAGCACACAGTTGCTCTCTTGAAAGAGGTGCACCCTCTGCTGGACAAAAGTGAATACATGTAAATTAAGAGCATTTTATGTGAAGATCTGACATCCTATGTAATTCATTCATAACACTTTTTTTTAGCACTGTGTTATGCACTTATCCTGCCCAAATACAAGCCACAATAGACTCAGTTTTACATTTGCAAGTGTGTTGCCTCGTACTGTCGAAAACGACTTCTGATTGGATGAGCGCGGAGAGTCACGTTCTCGACACCGAACGTAAAGTGTCGAAAAAAGACGTTCTCGTGACTGCAACGTGGATAACCATAGACCGTTGATATAACTGCTCGTGAGTAGCATTGCGAGGACTTTCTTCACCATGTAAAGACTAAACATCATAACCATAGTGTACTACAAAAACTACGTTTTACATTACAGTGTCTGTTAGTTTATAAATACCTGAAAATCACGGAGGGATGGCTTCCGGTTTTCAGTCAAAAGATGTTGCCTTAATCTTAGTACCACAGTATAAAAGCAGCTGCAGTTTACGCAAACATTTCTATGTCGTCTGTTTCACGACTATGTTGAACACCATGTCATTTGAATCAGTAACAAAAAGGCCCCGCTGGGATTCGAACCCAGGATCTCCTGTTTACTAGACAGGCGCTTTAACCATCTAAGCCACGGCGCCACGTGATTCCCTCACCGACATGAGATATCATGAATGAACTGTACTGGTATAGAATAAATATATTTCATTTGTAAAAAATCTCAGTGATAATCCACGATTTGTAAATAACAGAATAATTTCATGCATTTAATTCACATCAGAAAGTAATTTCTTTAGAGCAGTCCCACCATAAAAACTATAGCTAAGCCTATTTACAATGAGGTATAAACTATGTAACTTTCCTCCAAAATTTCAGTCAACCCAAAATATAATCAATCATTGCCGCAGAAATATCCAAATCTGACAGATTGAAGTCGCCCAGCTGCTGAAAGCAGAGATCAGACAGGTCGTCCATGGACTCGTTACTGTAGAAGCTCTGATGGTCCAGCTGACGCGGTCCAGCGCAGCGGCTACCAACAGGCTGGGATCCCTGTGCATCCCCGAGGAAAGCCTCAAAGTCCTCCATCAAATCCCATTCACTGAGCCCACCATGTGGGAACATATCATGGCAGTAATCAGTACATTCTGGGGTTTGGTAATAGTGGTCTTGGGGGACTCCTAGACCCGGTCGATGCGGGAAGCAGCATGTAGCATGGTCGGCGGTGACAGGGGATGTAGGTGCAGGCAGGGTCATGGCCTGACTCCCCAGGATGGTTGAGAGCCTGGTGGACTGAGGTAGACTTGGAGCATTGTATCCTGCCGGGGCCGGTATGGGAGTAGGAGGTAAAGAATGAGCCAACTGTGGGAATGGTGTGTAGGAGAACTGATGGAGGTAATCTGTGGAGGGCTTCTGGACCTCTTTTGTCAGTTTCTTGCTCTTGAAATAGCGCGCTCGTCGATTTTGAAACCAGACCTGTAAGAAAGAATGAAATGTGGTTATTGTATGACACACTCGCGCGTTATCCAAATTTACGCATTGGAAGTTTGAGAAGCGTGTGGCATACCTGAATTTTAGACTCCGGTAGCCCAGTAATAGATGCAAGAGACTCCTTAATTTTGATGTCCGGGTACTGTGTGACAGAGAAGGCCCTCTCCAGCTCGCTCAGCTGAGCCTTGCTGAACGTTGTGCGCTTCCGGCGGCGCTGGGTTTCCGAGCGGGTCCTGTGGGGAGCACCGTGATGCACTGTAGGGAGAGAACATTACATGTTATATTTACAGTTATTTATCAGCTTTTCTGACCTCACAATTGGAAATAAACACATTGCAAGTAACTGCATTTGGAGATAAGCTACATAACGACTTGAGGACATGCTTTAAACTTAACTTTGTACATCTTTGCAACCAGAATTAAAGAGAGCTATGCGTTGTTCACTAAAATTGGTTCACTGAGCCATATAAAAAAATAAATGTCAGTCACTCACCTCTGCTGGAGTCCTGTGCGTAATTGTCGTTGTTGTTCATGTCCGGGCATGCAGTGGGCCAGTAATGTCCCAAGTAAAACGTGTTTATCTCAGAAACATGACCGCCAGTAAAATCCAACCCAAACGCCATTCTCCTCTACAGAGTTCAAACACAAAAGCAAAAAGAGGGATATGTTTCATCGAGTCTCTCCACGACACTGGTGATCAGGTACAAGAGGGTTTTATACTTTGCTTGACAGACACAGGATGACCCCCTGCACCCCCACCCTCTCGCACGTCTCAGTGGATATTGTCAAGCCTTACAAACGCGTGCCTTTGATGTGTTACACACCTATACACTGCCTCGGCTATTAGGTGTCTGTTTGATCCCCGACGACCCGTTCATGTGACCATTTAGCCTAGACAGAGCTTGTATCCGGGAGTGTCAGCTCACACAACACTGAGATCGTCTGTAGCCTAAAAACATTTCTAAAGTCACTCATACCTGTTTAGTTTTGGGGGAAATGGAAGAATGAAGGAGCAACAAGTTTGTGCAATTTGTAACCTAAGGATTCGGACAAGGCTAATAACCTTGACAGGTAAAGCATTCAATCACACTTTTCTGACACTTCAGTCTGTAGCACCTCCTCTCCTCCACCTTTGCTGCCTCCTGGTGCGCATCAGAAGAAGATGAAAAAACTGTGTGTGGATATTGGAAGTGTATTGAAGAAGCTGCCGGAGTGTGAGGCTTCAGTCAGCTATAATGTGTTGAGGTGACAAATCAGGCTACTTTTTCTCCTTCCTGGTCGGTTGTGTTTCCACCGATCGAGACATCAAAACACCGGATAACGCACAGTCCAATGCACAGCCAGTTCCCAGGCTAGTGCCAGACTCACAGGGTTCGGACCATTGGAAACTGAATTTAAATTTACAAACATAAGGCAGCCTCAGAAGGCTAAAATCTAAGATGGAAATGTATTCAATTCAATTGCGTATTTTTTTCTTTGAATGTATCGAAAATATAAAATAAACTAGAATGACACGCCATACATTTAGTTAATTTTGTCGTCAGGACATATGATGAGCACGTGATGTAAGAAATGATTTGGGTTCATAACGGTCTGAAGATGAGACATCGACCCTGATGATTGCTTCACATCAACAGTGAAGTATTCACATTTACTCCTGCTCCCACGAACAATGGGCCATTACGATCATAACTCAAACTACTGCTGACCGTCACATGACTTACATTAAGGCAACTGTACATCGATACCAAAAAAGCAAATAGATGGGCCGTCGAAACAGGGTCACGCGCTGCCAGAGCTTCTGTGACCCCTAACCCTCAAACAGAAACATGGCGTACGTTTTATTTATAAGCTCGATATCTGCAGATTTCCAATTTTTAAAGCTTGACAATGTATTTTTTGTGATATATTTAAATGTGTTTTGTATATCTCGTATTATTTTAGTTGGCCTACTTAATAGCTTATACTGTTATTGTAGTATATGTTGGTAAAGGCAAAAGAAGAGTGAGAGGTGGAAATACGCCACTAGATGGCAACATTAGACAGTTTATCTATCTCTCTGTCTGTCAATCTATCTATCTATTTATCTATCTATCTATCTCTCTATCTCTCTCTTTATATGTATGTAACAGGTTGTGTAAGACTTATTCTGCTTTACACTGCAAAAGTGTTTGGTATGTGCATAGTGTATTTGTGGCAGCCCAATGTGATAAGAACACGATAGGCCTACACAAGTTAAAGTACAGTATGGTAAAGACAAATATACAGACGGGTGACAAATTGGAGAAAAAAAAACAAATAAGATGACAGAAAAATATAACAAATGGTGATTCTTCCAACACAGGACATGTGTGCTCACTGTCATCTCTGTGAATCTAGGACTTTTTTTGGAGCAACGTGTCTCCTCCACCATCATCAAAACACCAATTGAGGGAATATATTTCGGAGGAATGCTGTCCATCCCTCCAGTAGAGCTCTGAGATTTTTCAATTCGATTTTGACTTGTTATACTTTAGTATTAACTCATTCTACTAAAATGTATAGGGTCAAATAGACATATTGGTTTTATAGAAATGTATCTTTACTTCTCTCACATTCCTGGTTCATGGAGTGACACTCTTCATCTCCTTTTGAGTTTTCTAGCCTCCAAACTGTATATTCCTAACCTCCCCATAAAAAAATAAAAAAACAACTCACAATACACAAACTGTGCTTCTCTCTGTGTCTGAATGCCTTAGTGTATACCTCACACACTCAGGTGTGCACACAGAGATATGCTGGTCTTCTGTGTCCACACTCCTCTCTAAGAAATCAGGAGTGACACTCAGGTGTGAATGACGCTGTGCCCTCCTCTCCCTCACCTACGTCCTCGCTCCATCCTTCACAATACACAAACACCACTCCTCAGCCTGCTGTTTGATGTGGAAACTCCGTCCACATTTCCTGTCAACCTGAGGGATTTTTGGGTCAAATCCATGCGCTGCATGCCTGAGGTGAGAGGGTTACTCCTGTAAATAAAGTTTTTCTTGATCTGAGAAATAGAAGCTGAGTGTGATTCCAGCTTGGCTGGGGATAAGAGACCGTCAGACACTGAAGGGTAGGGAGGGAAAG